TGAAACTCCACTTAAAATGACAAGTAAACTGTTCTGCAAGTTGCCAGTTCCAGCAAGAAATACGTCTTTGATTTGAACTCAATATGAATAGCAGAATGTATTGACTCAGGAGATAAACATATTTTGGTTTTGCTGGGGAAAAAAAAAACAATCTAGGAGTGTTTCAAATATCTTCAGACACTTCAGTCCTTTCTTGACCTCACACAGTTTGAAAGAGTAAGAAGTTTCTTCTGTTCCTTCCCAGGCTGCCACTATTCTCTTTCAGGATGAGATTTTCAAAGGAAAGAAATATTGAGCTCAAAGTCAAGGCAGGCAGAACACATCTGCATATGATGTTTGACAGCCTTGCCAGAGGTAAGTCATTAAACTGAGATACAGCATGCCTGGACTTACTCATGTGATGTCCCTATATTGATGCTGATACTTCTGCTAAGTAGTTTCTATATTTTCTGCCATCTTTCTGCCAGGAAAGACAAGCGTATTACTTTCAGTAAAAAGAAAAATACAAACTAACAAGAAAACAACTAGCTTTAGGAAAAAATTAATAATCTTTTCAACTCAGGTTGCAGATAGACTAACCAAGTTAAAGCTAAATTTGTGAATCACATTCTTCATTAAAACAAATGTAAGCACTGTGGATTGCATTCTGGAACCTTCTTGTATAAACATTCTATTCTCAGTATTTCCATATTAGGCAAAACCTTTTTCTTGGTGCTGGCAAACAAGCATTTTCAGTGCAACTTGATCCTTCTGAAAGTTTATTAAAGACTGATTGTTTATGGAAACCTGGGGTATGTATGCTGGCCTTGTGACTTCAGGGGCCTTTGCGCTATGGTTCTTTTCGCTGTGCAACAGTAAACTTCATGACATACTCCCTCTTCAGCTGGTAGGAAATAGCAAATCAAGTGCTGGTTAAGACTCCAAAAAGACTTTCCCATGGGTCATGCTACAAGAACTAAACCAAGTGCAAACCCACAAACCATGTTTATTTAAAATAGTTTTATCCATAAATCATGTTTCCTCAAAACAGATTCATCCAACATCTATTGACTTCTTGTTCTGCACATGGGAAAGGAAGAGAATGGGGTTTCCTGTCCCACTGCACCTGTGTTTTCAGGACATAGTTGCTTCCCACAGCAAATATCTAGAATTATGCATCCACTGAAAGAGCAGAGTCAGCATCCAAGGGAGCATTTCTCATTCTTATGCATGACACTGGGTGTAATGGAGACATGAAACGGGAAGATGTAATATGTCATCTTGCTTTCTAGATTCTGGGTTTACTATAGCTCAGAGAGTTTCAGCAAGACAAATAGTATTTCCCTAAAGAAGAGTAGACCTATAAATTTCATATGTTCACCATGTGACCTCTTCCCATTAACAGAAGAGACGAAAGGGTACTTGACAGTGCTCCATTTCCACGCAAAAAATAAACAAGGGCTCTTCCACAGGCTTGTCACATGCTAGCATTTGGCCTCTGCAAATCTCTCTGTACTTTAATATGGGCAAACCTCATGAGGATTGAATATAAAAATGTGCAAGTGTTTTAAAGTTATTATTTTGTAACAATAGAAGTGGTTTACTATTTAAATAAAACTCTTTAGTTGTGCCATTACAGTAAACAGAGACTGATTCAGTTATAAGTTCCAACTGAGTAACAATTAAGTAAGGAAGAAGTTTTTTTACTGTGAGATGGAGAAGTATAGTAACCCAGAGGCACAGGTTGCTCAGAGAAGTGGATGACCCATCCCTGGCAATGCTCCAGGCCAGGTTGGATGAGGTTTTGAGCAGTGTGGTCTAGGGAGACGTCCCTGCCTATGGCTGGGGAGGAGGGTGGTGGTGGAATTAGATAATCTTTAAGGCCTGTTCCAACCCAAACCATATGATTCTATGATATGACCTTATTTATTAAGCTTTGATATTGAAAGGACAACCATTATTTTTTTACCCTCCTATCCTGAGAGGTTTATCCTTGCGTCAGAGACAATGGCAGTGGAAAGGACATCAAAACTTTCTCGATAGCATGCAACAAGACTCAGACTTCTCTCAAGGGTGCAGTAGCTCACAGATAGAAGTGGAACTTCATTAAGTTGTTTTCCCATTAAAAATAAGAAACTTCATGACCACATAGAGGGTGCCCTGGCATTTATAACCAAAAAGGCAGAAAAGATTACTTTCATGAACATCCTTCTTGAAATAACAGTTTATAAATATTCCTAATAAAACACAAAATGTCTGGAGGGCAATTGAATTAATGGAAACTCATTTCCTATTGATAGGGGACAATTGGGCAACGTAACTGGTCACCTCCCTTTTGTTGAGACATACACTATATATTCATCTTCTTCATCTTTTCTCCATGTCTCCTGTGCTATCCATGTCCCCAGGAAACCAGAGCAGAGCTGCAGCTGCTCAGGAGCTGTGCCCACACTGATCAGCCAGAGGGCTGTAGCCAAAGGAGTGCCCAGGTCCTTCCCACTACCTCTCTGAGTGGAGCACTGTTTTGGGGTCTCTCCTATGCCAGTCATTGCTTTTTACAAACACATAGAAATTCAATTATCTTTGAGACTTACAATCCCTTTCAAATTTGGCTAAGATTGGCCATCAGCTTGAAAACTTTACTACATGCAGACAGACACCATTATCATACAAACTTCATTTCCTTAGGAAACCAGGCTAATAGAAATAACAGTGAAAAATACAGCAGGCACATCAACAACAGAGCACAATGTTCAGTTTCTGTTCAGTGTGAAGCTGTTGTGACTTTAAAAAGTTCAAACAGGAAAAAAAAAGGGAAAGAGAACAAATATTTTCTCTTTGGTGTCACTGCACAGACAGAGCAGGCTCAAGAATTACCTGCAGGTCTCCACTTGGTGAATCTTTCTAATTTCTTTTAATCTTAGTGCATAGTCTGACCTGCTTCAGTTACCTTCCTTGAAATGTAAACTGCAGGCTGCAGACTACATGACTTATAAGCCCCACCTGGAATTCAGTTCTTTTTGTTTAAAATCCCAAGGGAAAGGAGACAAATCTCAGTATAATCAAAGACACTGGGGCTGCTGCCTCCAGCCTATCTTTTGAGAGATATTTTTCTTTCTTGTACTTGTTAAGAATACTCATTTTTAATTCCTTTCCTTTATGACATATTCTTTCATCGTTTAATCTTTCCCTCCTCTGTTAAGTCTTCAAATCTCACATCGGAACATAAAGGAACAATGGATCTAGCATTACTCAGCAGAAGGCAGGCTCCTTGGAAACCATTAAGTAAACAACAGAGTAGGAAATTAATCACTTCTACACATGGGGTTTTATTGCGTCTTTGCTCATGCATTCTTTGAATATATATATTTAACACCCTCACCCCCTCCCCCATGGATTGTCTCATACATCACAGAGACATCTGCTGTTAAAACTGTGCCTGGGCTGAGTACACTCATATGGCGGTAGCAACACCTGCCCCATGAAAGAGGATGTGCACCTGGCTACAGGTAAAACCCTGATGCTACCTCTGCAGACAATGGCAAGGTTTCCAGCTTTGATGGCAGGTGCTCTGATGGAGATGCTTGAGTTTAGATATCGGGGATCTCAGCTGTATCACACATTTCCTTTTGCATTGATCAAGAAACAGTATACAAATGGGGATAAAAGACACAACGTGCCCTTGCTGCTTTTGTTAACCAGGCCCCATTCAGCAAATTTTACCTTTTGCTCTTTACTAGGTATTGGTGGGCTCTGTCTTACCCAAAGTCCAATTCTGCTATCTGTAGACGTGTCATCCTTCAGGAGATGACTCAGGCCTGCCATACAGAGTGCTGTCTTACACTCTTTTACTAGCCTGGACATCTGTAGTTTGGCTTCCAGCAACTACTGGACTGCCTGGTGCATGATCCAGACCTTACCAGTAAAGCCTCTAATGGCCTGGTTTGCCAAGCATCTGCTCACAGACCTTATGGGAGGTTGAACTGGCAGGTCCTGTCACCTCTCACAAGACAAAGAGGACCAGTCCAAGGTTCCTGAGCTCTCTGCTGTGGCCCAGGGCTTGCCCAAAGCTTGTAGTGATGAAGGCACTTCCACTTCCAGCACATGAAAAACTTCAGCAGTAATAATATCTGCTTTTTATCCAAGTTTTGACTTTGTAGACACTTGAACCCAAGTCTTCCTGGAATTCACTGGTCAACATATGCACTCTCACCAGTTAGCCCAACAAATCCAATTCAAGCTTTTACAGTTTATCAGCTAAATACCTTCCTCTATCCTGACAAATTCATTACATTCTCTTAGATTCTCATCATTTTGCTGCTCAGCCTTCTTAACTTTTCCATTTCTGCACTAGGTTCCTTTCATCCATGGAAATTCAACCCAATGGAAATTTCCATGATGGGAATATACATAATTTTATTTTTTTGTTTATAATGAAGAGTGCAATTCTAAACAACAGCCACATTAATGCTTCATTATGACAGTTGAAAAATGAATGGATGTTTAATAGACTACAGTCAAGATCCCTTTTCTTCAAAGTATCCTTAAAAATACTAATTTAAAATCAGTTGTTGTTGGGCCTTCTTTGCCATAATTTTATATGGATAAAAAATGAACAGCTCTGCAAGGGAATAACTATATATATATATATATACACCTATATGAGATTTTTCCACTCCGAGTATCATATTAAAATATTTACAGCATATCCAAATATCTTTCATTTAAAGATTTTCAAAAACTTCTGAACAATTTCACTATTCTTGTTCTGAACTTGAGAAAATACTTTGGATGTGGTTCCTTGCATGCAAAGCCACTGAACGTTACTACAAGAGCAACTGTTTCTCCCTCGTCCTTTTTGAACAGCTTATATTTAAGACAGGATTCCTTCTTAAAAGCTATTGAGGACAGTCCTCCAGAACTGTAAGTTCTGTGAGGCAAGTTAACCACACCCAGACACTTAATAGTGTCTGGAGAAAAAGTCAACTCATTACTTCCAAGTTCTGTACCCAAAAACTTACCCTTGTGCCATTAATGAGGTAGTCCAGTATATCCAGGCTGGTAGGTGCTACTAGGTTGTGTTTTCTTCTGGAGTCGGTCCAGGAAAGCATTATTTACCCTTAAAGTACAATAAAAAATTACTATTGACCGAAGGTAATTGAGAAATTCACAAACTGTTGAACTTTAACATTCTGTGAGTGGCTTTCCCTTCCCCTCTATTCAGCACCTATCTTCCTATAGTTTTCAAGCCTGTGCTGCATAACTGCGGACAAGAATGAGACTGGGTGCATTTAATTTTCAATTTTCTAGGTGCATCCTTATCCTGTGGTCAGTCTGTTGTGATTAAAACACACACCTTGGCTGCTGTGTAAAATTCCCCATAGAAAGATGACCTGCATAATACTACCCACTTTATCAGTGTGGTTACCTATTTGGACAATTCATGTTAGATAGTCACTCAGCCTTCAGCACACAAGGAAAGTTTCTAGAAGTACCGATTTCCTAACACAAATGGAAAAAACAACCTAAGCTTGTAACTAATAGAGACAATTTATGCAGCTGACAACTTTACCTACCATCCAGCTCTGGAATCAACTCCAGCATTTTCTTACACTGCTCTATCAACCTGGAAAGCATGGACAAATACAAACACAGTGTTCCTCAATCTATTTTAAATACTTTCAAATTGGGATTGTTCAGCCTGGAGAAGAGAAGGCTCCAGGGTGACCTTATAGCAGCCTTTCAGTAGCTGAAAGGGGTAATGCCTGTATATTCAAAGAGGGTAGATTTAGTTTAGATATTAGGAAGAAATTGTTTACTTTGAGGATGGTGAGGCACTGCAACAGGTAGCCCAGAGAAGCCGTGTATGCTCCATCCCTGGAAATGATCAAGGCCAGGTTGAATGGGACTTGAAGCACCTGGTGTAGCAGAAGGTGTCCCTTCCCATGACAGGCAGGTTGGAATTAGATGATCTTTAAGGTGCCTTTCAACCCAAATAATTCTATGATTCTTTTGAAAACTGTTTCATTTTTTCCCCTATTACTGCTTAGGAATGACATACATGCTTAGACATGACTGTTTTTGTAAGAAAAATATAAAATGCGAGATACTGTGTTATTTCTATCTAGGGACATGAGATGGAGAGAATCAAAAATCCTTCATTAGTTTCTATGGGTAATTATCTCAATGTCTTTGCTAGAGAAAAAAAGAGAAATGAAAGCAGTATGGAGAGTGGTTGCCTACAGAAGTATTTTTTTAATATTTCCATAATGGTATAAAAAAAGAAACAAAATGGTGGTCTTATTTTTGAGCCTGAGAATTTTTTCTTTTTACCAGCAGAAAACAAAGCTGAGAATAAAGCTGTGCTTCAGGATAATGGAAAGTCAATTAAGTGATTGAAGTGGAAGATGAGAACAGCTGAGTACAGAGAGGTCACAGCAGTGAGGCACAGCCTGGGGTGTGAAGAAATGCTGCTGCAGAAGGCCTTGCTGCACTGCAAGAGCAGTATCTATCTGTATGGATATCAAATCCTATGTTTAGCTCTATTTTTTAACCTTAGTGACAGTCAACCACAATATGTGGCATGGACTAAGTAACCCGTTGTAAAATAAAGTAAAATTGTGTAGATTTTATATCTGTCTTACAGATAGATAGATAGATAGATAGATAGATAGACAGACATATAAAAGTGTGTCCCAGCTGAAGCTAGCAGTATTTAGTACTAGTAGTTATCCATGAAACTACTAATAGTTTCTACCCTATCCTGTATTCTATGCTGTTAGGGTAAAGAAAGTGAAAAAGGCACTCTGGGTCATCCTGTATACAGTGAGCAGTTGTAATGATAGATATTAGTGGTTCATTTGAAAGCAAAGCTAAACCAGAGATGAGGTATGGGATCCTCATTGCAATCATCTTCTAAAGCATGACTGCCTTCAATTTTGAGACCCTTTCCAGGTGGGAATTGAATTAGAGTGTACCTGCTTTTTTTGCACCATACCTCCTCTGTTCATTTTGATGCGCTCTTATCCTGGCTTCCTCTTCCTGCTTTTGTCTAAATTCCATTAATTCAGCCTGGCAATGATAAAAGTGAAAACCAAAGAAATAAACAAACAAACTAACTTACTTTTAATTTACATATTTATGCTGCAGACCCTATTAATTCCACATTATATTAACCTCAGTTAGAGCCACATGTCATTCCCAGAATGTCTATCAGCAGCATTTCATTTACGTAACAGGACTGTGTCAAAAATTGAGTTCATTTTTCTATTCAGCATGTGGATGATATTTGTTTGTGCCTTAAAAAGTGAGAAGTTACAGGATTCAGACATTTACAGTCCTACATTTAAGGGCGCATGCCAGACAGCAGTCTGCTTCCCCTTGCCCCAACCCTGGGGTTTGAATTTCCCTGTGGGTTCAAGGGGGGAGACAGCCAGAGTAATCTAGCAGGAGCAGACACAGCTGTCATGCCCATAGATTAAGAAGGAGACATGCCCTTCTCGCCTTCTGCCTCTAAAGAGCACAAGGAAAAGATGAGATATGGGGTATGTGGTGTGGTGTGTCACCTCCAGCTCCCTGAGGCTCCTACCAGGGTGAGGAGGGCAAATGATACTTTTTGGTGTGGTGGGAGCATATGCAAGCTCCCAGCATTGCAGCACAGTACCATCCTTATGTAATATTAAGGTATATAAACAGCGTCAAAGGGAATTATTTTCAAAGGAGAGTTTGATTATGCAGTTTTTGCCAGAGCTGTGAAGGAAACACAGTTTATATGACTCTGGCCTGCATATTTGCTTGTTTGTCTAGCTCTTGCTCCTTGCAATGCACCCAAGAATTGAAGGTGCAGATTTTTCTGCAGAAAAATTTTGGCTTACAGGGCAAAGGCAAAGGCATAGGAACAGACCCATCTTTCATATTTTCCATAGCAACTGTGAGGCAGTAGGAATGGAAACTATAATAAAATGATTCGGTTAGATAAAAGCATCAATAACTGAATGGAACCACAAGTCTTTTTTTCTTTCTTTTTTTTTTTTTTTTAAATCAATTTAAGTGGAACATTAAATAATAACTATGCAATACATGTATGAAGAAAATCAATAACTGAGAATGTCTTGTGTATCAATATTTGTCTAGCCCTAAAAGAAGAAACAGGATTAAGAAATAAAAAAGCCAACCTTAATTTTCACTGTTTTAAATAACTATTCAAGCTGAAAATTAAAACTCAGTATCTGACTTTCCAGTATGCTGACTCCTCTCTTGGAGTAATGTTCTGAAATATATTGTGTGTATATGATGCAGTCTTCAAAATGTACTGAAAATTTCTAAATCAAGTAATACATACTAAAACCTGTTCTGAAGAAAAAAAGGGAACTGACAACGCCTACACATTTTATAGCTACACTGTGCCAGGAGGTACACACAAGACAGAATTCACAATTACTTTAATAAATATTAGTTTGAAGTATAAAAGAGCCAACATATATCTGAGGGACGATTATTGGTGCATTTAAAATATATATTACAGTAGGTTTGTAGGTAGCGCATTACTCTGCTCAATAGGTTACAGCAACTGTGAAGGCAAGGAGACCTTGGAACCATGTAGCAAACAAGTGCAGCCTTAAAAGCAGCCAATATCTCCTTAGTAATTTGTGGAAATTAGTAAAGAAGCTACAGCTCTACACAAGTCCCTTAAACAAAACTCATCAATTAGAGGCATGCTAATTTACATCAGTAGTTATTTTCTCTTTGGAGGAATCAATGTACAGAATACAACAGCTACCAGCCTTATACCCATCAGGACTGATTTTCAAAAATTTTACTCTTTATAGTTCCTGGGAATAAGCATACACCTGATGGGATAGCAGTTAAGAACCTCCCTTTTGCTCCACCTTTTGTTTCCCGTATCACTGTTGTTAGACTAACATGAAATGAGGACACATCTCCAGTATGTAAAGAAAGATATCCATGAGAGGACATCAGTCACTTCTCCAGCTCTAGTAGAAACTCACTGCATGGAATTTGTTGTGCTAAGATTCTGCGACTGGGAAAGTAGTTTAGCAATGAATCTGGACACTATTAACAGCAGAGGCACAGCAAGAGGCTCAGTATTTGCTTATATGTTTTCAAATTATTTGCTAATACCATTTTCAAATGCTGCCCTCCCTGCACTTTCAAAGTCAGATCTGGAGCCAAGACAGATAACTTGGCACACTGCCATCACCTTCCATAGATGAATTTTATGTGGCTGTGGTACCCGAATCTATACCAGAGGGACTACAGTGTTCAAACACATTTCAGGCAATGCATGACACATATGCAGAAGATGGAGTTCAAAGTTGCAGTTATGGCATGCCTGCTTTTTAGACAATTCAAAACTCTTTATTTAGGTGGTTAGTAAGGGAACAGAAAAGCATACTATAATTAACAGCAAATCTGAATGTTTCCATGACCCCATTTGAGAAAGCAGGGCACATGGGCCTCAATTCTTTAGAAAGAGACTATTCAGACTGAGATCATCATGGATATCTCCATAAGATGACTTCTGCTTGAAAGAGAGTAAACTGGTTTCCTTAGCCTATAAAATCAGGTGCCATGGTCAAAAAACACTCTGCACAATTTTTCATATGGAGAGGCGAACAGGAGCTCATTATCCAGATGCAAACAGCCTTGATCCCAGAAGATAATTGTCCTGTCCCTGTCAAAATTTTGAGCTTGACTCATCTCTCTCACAATATTTGAAAACAGTGACTGAATCACTTTTGCTAAAGAGAAGATCTGTGCGTAGGCTACAAGTAATCAGTGTATTTAATTGGTTTCACAGCATGCAAAAAAGTTACAATATGCAAACTGTTAATGTATAATTACCTTCCTCCGTTGTTCTTGCTTCATTTCTTCTACTCTTCTGTTTTCATCCTCTCGAAGAGCTTGCTTATAAGCATGGCTTCGTGTCTATTTTTCAGCAGAAAATAAAAATATATTGGTGTGGGGAAAGGGAGGCTAAACTCCAGAACCTCATTTCCAAATTGTTACGTGGGTAATTAACAAATACAAATGGTTGAATGATTCCGGTTACTTACGAAACAGATTTAGTCTTGAAACTAGAATTTAAACAAGAAGTGTCCTAAAACCTCTCAGTGATTCACCTTGGGTGAATGTCTACCTACACATCACAACAATGTACCCACAGCACATGTCCCAGTGACAAGCATAAAGATAATCTGAGCAGTCAGAAAACACAATTAGGAGATATGATAGTGAGATGGGGTATTCTGGGAAGCAAAAAAGTTCTGGAAATCTTACCAAGATAAAAAAGCAGAACAGAAGCTTGGTAACAGAGGGGAAAACAGAATTATTTGTGGAGGTAAGGCAACAGAAACTGAGATATCAAATATGCTTTATTATTTGTGGGGCAGCCAAGACACCTGAAAATCTGAACTACACATCATGAATAATACATTCAGCTGTGCAGTACATTTTCATTATAATAACTATCCCTGGTCTTTCACAAGTTTTAGTTGTTATCAAAAAGCCATTAGGATCTCACAGGATCTTTAGGATATTATACACTGGAACTTTTACTGTAAAGTCTTCAAGCAGGGACATAGTGCAGAACATTAAATAATGAGACAGTATAATTTAATACAAGAACTGTGCAGGTCTGACTTTGGTGAGGAATTTGTGGCAGGTCTACACAATGTTCTCAAGACTTGATATATGCATGCAGAATGACACCATTAAAACAACAGGCACATAATTTGCTAAAAAGACTGAATAGAGAAAGCAAATATTAATAGCTCAATTTTGAGCTCAGAGAAGTTGTTACATGTGTCCAGGGAGACTCATTCTGGGTCCGATATTATTCATTACTCTCCATAATGGCTTGGAGAATTGTGTGGAGGGTATGTTAATCAAGCTGGAAGACAATAAAAATCTACACAGGATTGGTCACACTTTGAAAGACAGGATTAAAATTAATTATGAGCTTGATTAAACAAGCAGGCCAAAAAAGTCATCAATGACATAGTCACTCCAAAGAAGTCAAATTTGTTCACAGACATCAAGTAACATTTGGCCTTGATAGCTGAACTACGTGTGCTAAATTAATATCGCTATCAAAGAAATGATGTGAGGGAAAAACTTTGACCATTACACTGTCCCAAACTGGTGTTAGAGAATGAATTTTAAATTTTAGAAATCATCTATATGTACATATATGGCCCCTTTTAGCATGCATGTCAGGCATGTCCTAAGCTTATCACACTTCACTACTTCAAATACATTGTTCCTGAATCTTTTAATTACTCCAGACAAAGGACACGTTCAAGATAACATCTAAATTAGAGTCCTAGCTTTCCCACTGTTTTAGAATCTTGATACTATGCCAGGTTTATTTAGATAACAACTCATTGGTTATGTGCTTCACATTCCTCACACAGAGCACAGATAGTGTGTGTATACCTATAGACCATACCTCATCCAAGTTGCTTGGGAGAACTGCTAATTGCATTGCTGCATTATAAGCAAGTGATTAGCTGATTCAGAAAGCTATAGATACACTGCTATGCAAAAGACAGGTATAATGTCAGCTAGTATTAAAGAACAGTACAGATGAATGATGTACTTTACCTGCTTGGACATTAGTGAAGCAAAAGATGAACTACAGTATGTAATTTGGCATGACTTATTAAGAAACCTGTCAAAACCTGGAATGAGAAAGCCATGCATAGCAGGTGAAGTAGAAGGCCAAGGCTAAAAGCAGGACCTGTACATTTGAAAGAATTAAGTGTTCCTTCAGACATCCACCTGCTTCTGTATGAATATGAAGACATCACACCAAAATGCAGAAATCCAAGTCAGTCCTGGGGATATGAGCTCGCTTGTCTTTGCAGTTCAATGCTCACATCACATGAAGGCTGCAGAGCAGAGCGTTCCCTACCAAAGAACAAGCTCCTGACTGTTTGGAGTGTTGGATGCCTCAAGAGGGAGGCAGAAGTTGTTTCAAAACATCTTTTCTCCCTTCCCATGGTCCTTCATCTTTCTTGTCCATTCAGGACTACAAAAGATAGTCTGAAAGCCACTCTCCTGCATTTGACCCGTCCAGCATTGCTGGACAGGAGTTGGCTCCTTCCAGCTATATATCTGCTCACAGAAGCTAAGATTTCTTTAGACTTTTCAGAGGCACAAAATTTTTAGCAGAATCAAAGGGGAAAGGAACGTATTTTCAGTATCATCTTCCCTTTTCATGCAAACCAGGAAGAGAAACTAGGGCAAGACAGCTGTCATATATTCTGTTGGCAGCAATTTCAGTAACAGGCAGATTTTTGCACATTTCTAAGGCTTCTGAGGAAATTAGGAGGCAAATCTTCCTTTCCTGCTACTCAGCTGTTCAAGGTTGTATACAATAGAGGGCTGCCCAGATCAAATACTTCCAAATTTCCTCGGAGTTGCTTATAACAATAATTTCTGTCCACTCTGTCTTCCTCCAATTACAACTCTCGCTACAGGAGAAATACTTCTGCCTCAGGGTTAGTATTCCTCACTTAAAGTTATTACATAACAGGAAAGCTTGGTTTAGACATGAAGAGACTAATTGTATGTGAAAAAGCCTTTTAGAGGCAATCAGAATAATTAAACTTAAGCAATACTTTATCTATTTCCTAATTACATTGATACTCACCAGTCTCACTCAAACTGGGACAAAGACCCCAAGCAGTGTATGGAATCACTTTTACGATGCAGTGAGAAACAAGCTTCTCTTTCTTTTGACTAGATTTTTAATGCAGTAAAGCATCTGCTGACAAAAACTAATTGAGATTTCATAAAAGCTCACCACCAACACATGAGCACAGGGCATATTTAAGATTCTGATCTGACCTTTGAATATAAATCTGGTTCTCATTTATCAGAGAGAGATCTGTGAGCACTTGCCTACTATGTGGAATACTCTGCCAGTATGTAGAGACAATATAGGCAATCTCATTCACCCAGAAAGACTTCTTGGTACTCGCTGAGTTATGTCTAGGCAATTAAGCTCAATTAGAATATTCTAACATTACGCTATTGACAGCACCTGGAAAGCTGATAGAAAATACAGTACACACCATAGTTTTGCTTACCCATGCTGTAGATTCCGGGCCAGGATTAGCAATCTGACAGGAATCACTCTTTGGCAAACCCACGTCCAATCTGTTCAATAATTCATTGGTTTTGCTATGAAGAAATCCAATCCAAATAGAATTGTTAGTGCTTCCATAAAAATAAACACAGCTTTTTATTCCACCCTTGGAATCCAGCCTAGACATTTTATCACATGTCTGCTGAGAAACAACATAGGTGGAAAAAAAATGTTATGGAAACAGGATGAAATGACACAGAGGATACAAAACCTATACTGTGGATAAGACATTTGCTAGGAGGATTTTTAAGCAAACAATTATTTTCATTCACATGTTTGGGTTGTACAGTGGCTGTGTTTTCTTTGCTAATTGTAAAGCTCCTGTAACACAGACTCACATACCTTTGGACATCATCAGGATGTAACTGCTTCACTGAATTGTTGCAAATCCTTCAACCAGATCTATAAATCTCTGGTAAGTAATTTAAAAGATAATTTTAAGAAATTTTCCTTCATGGTTAATACGACAAAGCCTTGCAAAAGATTACTTAATCAAGCAGAAAGACTTAGAAGCATTTTGTGGCATTAAAAAAAAAAAAAAGACTTTATTTGAAGCAGAATGCCACAGCATTATCATTTCTTATTCTATCAAGTAAAATTTTTCTTTTCCAGTTGCATCATTATTAAAGCAGATTTTCAAAGTAGCACCACTTTGCTCACAGTTTCAACCAAATACAGTTGAACAAAGTCACAAACAAAACCAACAGGAGTCTGGGGGCTGTGATCTGGAATCAGTTCCCTAACCTGCAGTCCCAGACATATCTACTCAAGTCTTTGCTCCCACAAAGGAACAGAGTTAGAGGAAAGGGACAATTTTATTTCTGTATACAGTTTTGGAAAGCATGAAAGCACTGAAGTGAGAGCAGAAAGAGTGCCTTAACACGTTCAACAAAAAGATTTACTCTCCTAACTGAGCAACCAGCTAGCTCTGTGAGGGAGAAGAGACTTAAACTTGGAGAAGAAGCCTTGGCTGCCAAAAAGTGATGATGACTAGCAGCTGAAAGAGACTACCGATTGTGTTTTTATCTTTCACTCCATGATCTGAAACGGTGAGTAGATGCCTTTTGGGCAAATGTCCTGCTAGTCAGCAAGGAGTGGTATATTGAGGAGAAGTTCCGAGAAAGCAAGAACCCACAGGTTCTCTGCTACTCTACACAATACAAAACCATGCTGCCACTTCAGGTACAAAGTACTTGCCCAAGCTGTAGAAAGCCAGGCTTTTAGAGTGATCATCATTCCCAGTTCACTCTCTCTTTCCTCCATTGCCTGGGCAGTTTACATAGAACTCAGCCAATGCACAGTACAGAAAGAGCCAAATGAAATATTTGATTCCCTGATCTATAGAGTATCAAGGTTGAAGAAATTAACAGTCTTCTTGCACAAGTCTTAAGCACTCATATTTTTTTCCATGAAAGGGGAGTTCCTAAGTGGTAAGATTGCACAGAATAATTTTGGCAACTTGAAGTTTTAAATTGCAGATTTTGTGAGTTTTTACCTATGCTAAAATTGATAAATAACATAAAATAAATAAATAAAATAACAATTTATTTCTATACCAGAAAAACCAAAAACTCCTACAAAAATCTGGAATATATTAGAGAAGGCTAAAGCTCTGCAAAGAAATATCTGGCAACTTAGGTCTGTACCTGGATGTTCCTTAGGGATGTCAAAAGAATGACATGGGGGATGTGGAATTTCTCCTTATTTGCATAAAAAGGTAGTGGAAGACACTACTTTTCCAGGATCAGCACACTGATAGATGAAAAGCTAACTCAGTTTTGGTATCAGAAAAGATAATTACAAGAGTGGAAGCAAATAAAGTTTCTCAGCAAGACTGTCTCTGAATAGAGGAAGCACCCTACTACACCAAATTAAGTAATACATTAATCAAGTGTCCCTATCACAAGAAAGGGACTCAGATTTCTGGACCTGACAAAAGACAAATCAGGTCTTATATATGTTAATTTGTTTTGTGTCATCTCTATGGAAACCCAGCAGCGCATCTAGAGTTGCGAGACTGAAAGTTTGAAAGGTATTTTTCATAATACTAAACCTATAGTCATGACAGTACAAAGTATAGCATAAGCCATGCTGCAGGAAAAGGGGGAATTCAGGGAGATCATAGTTCAATTAATGTTATGGAATGCAAATATTGTCTCCAGAAGGAAATCAGCATATCAAAGTGTCCATAGGTGTTCCACAGACAGTTGGAGCAACATCCCACTCATCTGCTAAAACTTCAAGGACTAATCAAAGATGCTAATAAAATAGGTTCCTCTAAGCTAACTAACATTAAGGAAAGAAGAGCATGAGCTGAAGAATTTCATCTGAATACAGCAGAATCCTGATACTCTTCAAATACAGCTAGGCAAAAGGCGACCCAAAATTTAGATGAGAAGAAGGCACCAGCCTGCTAACCTGAGTTCTGACTACCCCTAAGTACCAGGCAGAAGAGAAGACAGCCATTTAGAAGCAGTGGTTAAGCTGGAGCAATCTTATGAGGGTATTTTGTCTTTCTTGGTATCTCTGTGTCCCATTACACTACTGGGAAAAAGCCTTCTGCTCTGCTAATTTAAATAGCCTACTCCCATACTGGTATGTTTAATAGGACCAAGCAACAGTGTTAGCATGGGAACTCAGCCACCTATACTGTGTAACCATTCCTGAAATTGTTTAGACTTGTTCCAAATAGCACTTTCCCAAATAATTCCTAGCTGCTAGGAACAAATATCAACCACAAGTAACTCCCAAGAGATGTTTTAGATGCTACTGCCCCATTTCGGGAGCTAAAAAAGTTTTCTAGCAATGGAAGCAGGCAGCCTCTGGCCTGTTTGCCTCAAAAGTGACAGTGATTGACAGTGTTTAATTTATTAGTACAGATGTAGCCATAGGGGAATGAAGCGTAATACTAGATTCAGGGGTTGAAAAACTCTTAAGAGCTGTCGTGGGAAAATACTAACTCTGCTGCCAGGATCATTGAGTAATGTGCTAAGAGGGGACAGTGCATAACAGTGGAAACTCCATGTTTCGGGTACTTTGTGTGGGTCCTTGGATATTTGACTTTATATTTCACAACTACTCTTCAGGCAGAGTCTTTTCTTAAAAGCTCTTATATAAACCATCTACCTGAAGCTCAACAAGTATATGTAAAGTGCAGAAACACTAATTTTCTAGGTGTTCCCCTGAGAATGCTGTAATTCAGGGATTTAGAGTTGGCACCCTACATTCACAAGATACTTGTAGATCAGGGAAACCACACACATTTCTTATTGTTTGGGACTAAATGCTGCCCTCATTCCCATGAGGGTGAGACAAGAGGATGGTTATAAAAGCCAGTGAGCATAGGTTGCTCTGGCCTGAGTAGAAGTTCCCATGCTCTAACAGGATTACCAGCTTTGACAGACAAGAAGCAGAAAGCTTTACAATTTACTCCAGCATGCAACTGTGAAAGATCTGAAGACCCACAATTGATCTCATTGCTGGACCCGAGGTCTAAAATCCTGTGCAGAATAAGGTCTAACTTTGTGTGTCACTTGGTCTTAACTCCTGTCACATCTACAAGGCAAAGAGCAAGTCCTGAAAAGGATTCATCCTCAGGGATGAGAATAATGATAAAGACTCAGGCCCCAGCACCTTCCTGCATCCAGGAGTTGCACAGCACTGCTTATTAAGCTTTTAATTTGAGCCTGTATTCCTCTTAAAGCAGAGAGAAGACATTTTTTCTGTCTTCACATAAAGTTCTTGCCTTTAAGTGTGTTTTACAGACAAACATTAAAAATGCATTAATTAAAAAGGTTTCTTGTAATCTTCATTAGTCCTTCTCAATGAAACTAGTAGCAGTTAATTCTTTTGCTTTAATTGATGGATATTTAAATGCCAGTATACAAAAAAATATACTGGCTTTTATGCCAGAACATTTAAAAAAAAAAAAAAAAAGCAATACTTTTGCATATATCATAAATCTATTTATTTATCTTGAGATTTTTTAAAATATAATGGCCAACTCTTATTACTACCGAAAACAATAAAGCTCCTGAAGTTCTTGTTATCTCAAGCTGCAGGATCTCCACCATTATAATTCTGCTCTAATGAATGTCCACAGGTATGCTAAGAGTTGTTCAGAAATAGTATTTTAAAATAAAAATAAAGAACTGCAGGCCAGGTAAATAATTATAACCATTTCAAAGAGGAGTGACTTGAGTAGTCACTTAGACTACAGAAGCAGCATCTAGTGCTGCATGACATGGATACATCAGCTTCCAAGTTAATTGCCTGTAAGCAATCCTAAAGTTATATTCCACCAGTTTCTTCCAGTTCAACTGAAAAACTAATAACCATGCATAATACATACATAATGTTAGTTTCACATATCTGCCCAGAAGCTTCATGATGGTTTTTAAAAAGAGTAGGACTCTCCCACTCAAAAAAACCTAACAACAAAAAACTAAACTGAAAATTGAAACTGAATTTTATTCAAGACACATCTTTTTGCAGCACCAGCTAGTGTATCTACACTTCTTCCCACTTCAACGTATTTAATTGGTAAGCATACCAACTTCCTCACCTTTTGCAGAAATTAAGATCAATTTTATAACAGCACCTAAGTCTACCCACAAGAAATGCTGCCCTTCATTTCAGTACAGTCCACGGTATGTGTGTCCTCACTGATGCCCTTCTTCTTTCCTCAGTGAGGGCTCTGTCTTATGCATTGTCAAATGCATCTTGATCAGGCCTTTCCTATGATAAACAAGCCAGGCTGACTGGGTACTAGGGCCATTGCTGTTCCTCTGACATGTTGCCTAACAAAAACAAATGTTAAAACCAAAGACATTCCAGAAGTCAAGGCAAAGGTCAACAAGATTGTTGTTCATTTATGCAGGTTTCCAACAGACTCTGTGTTGGAAGATGGATACAGACACTCCAAAGGGAGGTGTAGTTGGGACTTTCACCAATAAAAATAATTTTCTAAAAGAGGAATGAAGTTCGGGGGGTAGAGGCTGGGGGGGCGATAACGCCATATGTGAAAATAGTCTCA